AGACAAGCTGGAGGCTTTTGCGCAGTAATCAAAACCAGCAACCATTGGAGGTGGCAGCTGGCAAGCGACAAGCAGTGCCTGGATCCAGACGCATTTAGATGGTGCAACAGGCAGGATTTGTTGATGGACTGGCTGGAGAGGAGCACAGGAAAGAAAGAGAAGAATTAAGATTTACTCCAAGATTTTGATTTGAAAAACTAAGTAAGATTGGGTGTGGGTGTGGGCAGGTGAATTAGTAGTTGAGTTTTGTCTGTGATCTTGAAATTCCAATTCAGTCCAAGCGGAGGTGTTGAGGGAACAGTGGGATCTCTCAGTCTGGGGTATATCCCAAGGAGAGGCCTAGTCTAGTAATATACATTAGAAAAAGTACTGCAAGGGAGAGGTGGAAGAAATATTTTTTGTTAAAGATTTATTTATTTATTCATTTGAAAAGCAGAGTTATAGAGAGGTGGAGGCAGAGAGAGAGAGAGAGAGAGAGAGAGAGAGAGAGAGAGAAAGTCTTCCATCTGCTGGTTCACTCCCCAATTGGCCGCAATGGCCAGAGCTGCACTGATCTGAAGTCAGAAGTCAGGAGCTTCTTCTGGGTCTCCCACATGGGTGCAGGGGCCCAAGGACTTGGGCCATCTTCTACTGCTTTCCCAGGCCATAGCAGAGAGCTGGATGGGAAGAAGAGCAGCCAGGACTCGAACTGGCGCCCACATGGAATGTTGGCACTGCAAGCAGTGGCTGTACCTGCTATGCCACAGTGTCAGCCCTAGAAAGAAATATTTAAAGTACAAAAAGCAAAGTTAAATCCTTACACTTTTTGCATTGTGGGCTAACCGGGATTATTTTACAAAGATAGGTTTTGTTGGCATGCTGTGCAGAAGATGTGAGGGTTTACCTTTACCTTTTTTTTTTTTTCACAGCATTTAAATTTAGCAAACATTTTTTTTCCCATGTGGGAGCTATCACAGGTAGGTAGTATATATAACCGTGCACTTGGGCGAGGGTGAGTGTAGACAGGGAAGTATCTGAGGACTGAGCTCCTGGGCACTTGATGGAGAATCAGCCAAAGATGTTGGAAAGGAGTAGCCCAGGTGGTGGTGGGGGCCCATGGGAGCAGTGTCCAGGAGTCAAGTGAAGGTGTGTACAATTATTTTAAATTAATTATTTCAAAATTAATTTGAGAGGCAGAGAGACAGACAGACAGACAGAGATCTCCTCTGCTCATTGACTCCTCACCTGCTGGTTCACTCTTCAAATTGCCCACAGAGTCGGAACTAGGCCAAGTTGAAGCCAGGAGCCAGGAACACAATCCAACTCTCCCGTATGGGTGGCAGGGACCAAGCTATCTCGGCCATGACCTGCTGTCTCCTGTGGTGCACAGTGTCAGGAAGTTGGCGAAAGGAGCCAGAGCCGGGACTTGAACCCAGGTACTCTGATGTGAAGCATGGGCATTCTGTCTGGCTTCTTAACTGTTAGACCAAACGCCTACGTCCAAAATCTCAAATTTTTTGAGTGCAAACATAACGCCACCAGAGGAAGATTCCACACCATGAAACTTTGTTTCATTCACAAACCTATCAAAAATATTAGCCTGCAGGCTATATATATAACGTGTGCATGAAGCATAAAAAAATTTCATGTTTAGAACTGGATCTCATCCCCAAGACATCTCATGGCATATATTTAAGTACTCAAAAAAATCGTCTATTGAAACACTTCTGGTCCCAAGTGTTTCCAGGGGCTCCCCCAACCCCGTACCTTCCTTGCTGTACCACTGCATGGAATTAAAATACGAGGAGTGGCCGGCGCTGCGGCTCACTAGGCTAATCCTCTGCCTGCGGCGCCAGCACCTTGGGTTCTAGTCCTGGTTCGGGTGCCAGATTCTGTCCCCGTTGCCCCTCTTCCAGGCCAGCTCTCTGCTGTGGCCAGGGAGTGCAGTGGAGGATGGCCCAAGTCCTTGGGCCCTGCACCCCATGGGAGACCAGGAAAAGCACCTGGCTCCTGCCATCGGATCAGCGTGGTGCGCTGGCTGCAGCGCGCCGGCAGCGGTGGCCATTGGAGGATGAACCAACGGCAAAGGAAGACCTTTCTTTCTGTCTCTCTCTCTCACTGTCCACTCTGCCTGTCAAAAAAAAAAAAAAAAAAGAAACCCACACAGGAGGAGAGATGTGTACAGCATGCCTGGAATGGTCCAGCCCATCTCTGGGACAGGTACTCCAGTTTCTCCTTTCTTCTTCTTGGCAGTTTTTTCCTGGTCTCTGTTGATTCTCCTTGTTACCTTTCTTCAGTGCAGGATCCATTCCTAACGACACTGGGCAGGTTTGATGGAAGCCCTTGGGGGCTGTTCTTAAAAATATAGAAAAATGTTGCCTCTCTGGCACCCCCTGGAGGTCTGGAAGGTGCACTGACTGAGGTTCATGGAGTTCACAGGTTCACCAACCAGAGATCAAAATGCTACATTGTTGCTGAAGTGTCCCCTGTAGTTAGGCCTGCGACGTTTGTGTCTGTTCTGAACTGGGACAGTTTTTCTTCTCGAAATTCTCTAAACAATGCAGTATAACAGCTATTTGAAAAGCATTTGCATGCATATAATGAGATGACTTAGAATACAATGCAAATCTAGGATGATTTAAAGTATATGGGAGGATTGTGTAGGTTACATAAGAATACTACACCATTTTATACAAGGAACTGGATCATCTGAGGGTTTTGAAATCTGCAGGCGTCCTGAAATCAACTCCCTAAGGATACTGAGGGATGACTGCACGTGTGTGAGTACATGAGAGAGAGAGAGAGGTCTTTGAAAAGTTCATTGGAAATTCACATTTTTAAAATATTTATTTATTTGAAAGGAAGAGTTGCAGAGAGACAGAGGCAGAGAGAGAGAGAGAGAGAGAGAGAGAGAGACAGAGGTCTTCCATGCGCTGGTTCACTCTCCAGATGGCCATAATGGCCAGAGCTGGGCCAATCTGAAGCTAGGAGCTAGGAGCTTCCTCTCTGTCTCCCACACGGGCGCAGGGCCCAAGAATTTGGGTTATCTTCCACCAGGGTGTAAGAAGAGACAACAGGGTCCCCTCCTGTGTGTCCCACGCAAGGATGGCTCTCGACTTAGGATGGGTCCAGTTAGGCACGCTTGACCTCACAGTGGTAGCAGAGTGACGCACGTTCAGCCAGCGGAAGCCATCCTTGAATTGTGTGTGGATTTGGATCTTTTCCCCGGAGCGCCAGGAGGTCCGATCCTCTCTGGCGAGGCGCAGCAGCCGGCGCGGCTCCCACGGTCACAAAGTCTGCACCTGACGCGCTACCGCCTGCGGTGCTGCTGGGCCGGGTTGGGCCGTGGTCAGGTGCACAGCATTCGCAATTGACAATGGGTTTGTAGGGATGTCACCACGTTATCAGTCTAGCAGCATGTGTGTCTTTTAATTTCACTTTCTCACGAGTTTCTGAGTCTCCTGGATTGGTGTACATATGCATTGGGTGATTACACACATAGAGATGTTCTTTATAGGTAAGGTTTTCTATTTTTGCCAACCATTGTTCTAGATGTTGGGGGATTACAGAGAACAACAGTTCTTGCCTAGAAAGTTTGCAGTCCACCAGAGGGGAACACATATGTGAAGAGATCACCTCGTTACACTGACGCAATAAAATTCAACGGGGGTGGGGCTGGTGTTGTGGCGTAGCAGGTTAATCCACAGCCTGCGACACCAGCATCCTATCTGGGTGCTGGTTCGAGTCCCGGCTGCTCCACTTCTGATCCAGCTCTCTGCTTGTGGCCTGGGAAAGCAGTAGAAGATGGCTCAAGTGCTTGGGTCCCTGCACCCACGTGGGAGACCTGGAAGAAGCTTCTGGCTCCCAGCTTGGGACTAGCCCAGGTCCTCAGTAGCGGCTCACCTTCAGTCCTGCCCTGGTGTCTAAACGGGTCCCCAGTATTTCTGTCTTGGGGTGCTGGCTATGCCATCTGATGGTGCCAGGTTCTCGCACAAGGTTCCAGAACATGCATTTCCTCCTTGGCACCTTGAGCTGCAGTCTCCACGGTTAGATTTCTCACCAGGAGAGACACGAGTGTGTCTTTCCAGTAGATTTCTTTCTGCCTAGGACCAGACGTTGACCTGATTTTGTGACGGTCATGCAGGACCTGCCCGCCTGAGTGCACGGGGTGAGGGGACACAGCCCTTGCAAAAGACAGAAGCTGTTGGGGTCTAGGTCAACAAATGGGCCTGGGAACTCCAACACACACACACACAGCGTGCTGCAAAAATCTGCTCTGTCGCCCAAATTCCACAGGCCCCACATTTGTCAGGCTGGTGCTGGACTTGAGCCCTGAACACAAAGAAGCTCCCTGGATTCTTTCCTTCGCTCTTGGACAGGGTAAGGGTCACGGTTCAGCACGGATGTCTCCATTGGAAACATGTGAGTTGATTTTTCAGAAATGGCATGTTTACCAAATGTGTAAAAATTAGATTTTTAAATGAACAGGAGCCAGGGCAGATTGAAGGTTTTGTTAGAAACTGGCAATCCATTTTTCCCCCTTAAATCCCAAGTTATGTGCCTGACAACCTGTGCCTCAATCCCATGTTAGCTTAAAATACAAGATAAATGGATTGAGTACTATAACAACACATTAGGAGACCCACAGCTCACTGCTGCCTCAAACAAGGCTTGCCCGTTTGGCAGTGGTTATTTTTAGAAGCAAAAGTGCCTGGGACAATTCAAACATTTGTTTCACTTCACTGTGATAAGACGGCATTCCATTTGCCTCTGTTCTCATTTCTTCCCATCATTGAATGACCCTTCCAAACTGATTTTACTGTAAGTACAAGTTGCAACATTTATTTTTAAAATAACAGAAAATGTGTTTTTAAATTTCTGACTTTTTAAAGAAATATGTATTTATTTGTTTGAAAGGCAGAGTTACAGAGAGACAGGCAGATAGGGAGAGAGATCTTCCAGCCACTGGTTCACTCCCCAAATGGCTACAATGGCCGGAGCTGGGCCAAGCTGAAGCCGGTAGCCCAGGACTCCATCCGGGTCTCCCATGTGGACCATCATCTGCTGCTTTTTCAGGCGCATTCCAGCGGGGAACTGGATCGGAAGTGGAGCAGCCAGGACTAGAGGCAGTGCCCTTATGGGATGCTGGTGCTGCAGGTGGAGGCTTAACCCACTACAGCACAAAGCCAGCCCCTGTTTCTGACTTATTTTTATTATTTATTTGAAAGTCACAATTACAGAGAGAGAGGGAGAGACAGAGAGAGAGAAATCTTCCACTTACTGGTTCACTCCCCAAATGGCCACAACAGCTGGAGCTGGGCCAAGCTCGCAGCCAGGAGCCAGGAACATCTTCCAGGTCTCCCACATGGGTGCAGGGGCCCAAGGACTTGGGCCATCTTCCGCTGCTTTCCCAGGCCATTAGCAGGCAGCTGGATCGGAAGTGGAACAGCTGGGACTTGAACTGGTGCAAACGTGGGATGCTGGTGTCGCAGAGGCTTTATCTACCACACCACAGCAAGGGCGCCCTGACTTCTTGGTTAAAGTAGAAGGAAAGCATGGGAATAGCCACCCATACTTTACTGTGTGTGCCAAAGCGGGGGGAGGAAGTTCTTGTCTTTTCTGTCAACAACAGCACATTTCGAATCTGTTGTCGTCAAGACTTGCTTCGTTCTCTCCTCACGTCTCTCCTCCTTAGTTCTTGCCTGCTCCCTTTCTCTTTGGGAACCTTATTAAATTCACTGTCAGGAAAGCTCCTGAAGCTCCTTCATACTACAGTGTCCATGACTGATACTGTAGGTAAGTTACCTCGCTTAAAGAGACTGGCGTTTTAGCAGGAATCGGAGGCATATGCACAAGGAGTTTAGTGAAAGGTGAGATGGGGGGAGGGGGTGGGGAGATCACCAGGACTGTGCATCTTCTGAAGCCCACCCCAGGGACGTCGGTCGCAGGCACAGGTGCGAAGCTTGTCTGCCTGTGCAGTTCTGGAAGCCGTGGGCTCTAGCTAGCACGCGGACACCTTGCCTGGGGCAGCTGCCTGCAGGTTTCCAGAAACATTTGCAAGGGCGCCTCCAGCAGGGCTGGGAGCAGCTCCCGGTTCTCCAACAGGTGCTGGGAAGTGGTGCAGCGGCTGCCGACGGCTGTTTCGTACCCCCTGATTCTCTGCGAATCTCCGGCGGGCGGTGGCGTATCTGCTCATGGCTGTGACGGACACAGCCATGCAGAGGGTGAAAGAACCCCAGGCAAGACTGTCAAGAGAAGGCACAGTTAGGAAGGGGCCCAGGACCCCGATGCCAGGCTCCCTGGCGTGGGTCAGTTAGGTGGAAAACCAGCTGCTGGTTCTACCCCATGGGGACCTGCCTTTTGCATCACAAATCCCAGAGACCAGCCAGTATGGTGTTAATATAGTAGTTACAGAGGGCGGATTCTGGAGTGACCACTGTGGAGTGCTGGGGTTTGCCCCCTGGCCTCATCTCTTCACTTGTGTGGTCTTGAGCTGGTTACTTTTTTTTGTATCAGTCTCCTCATCATCTCAGCACTACAGGGTTGTGTGCCATACACCAAGTGTCTACAGAAAGGAACATCTGTAAAGTCAGGAGGAATTCTGGCAGGGGCCGGGTCTTTTCTCATTCCAGGGTTTATTAGGAGTGACAGCTCAGGACACGCCCCCAAACTGAATTTAAGAGTGTGTTGACAACACTCGTTTTATAAGCATGATGTCCTTAAATTTCTATAAAAGCGGTTGAGGCAGGTGTCTCACTTCACAGATAGGAAATGCGGCTGCAGAAAGATTACAAAACCCACTCAAAGTCAGCAGGTACCGGCCCTGTGACCACCATTGTTTGTCCTATGAGACCCGTGTGCATCTTTGCTGGGTCCCCCCCAGGGCCTGAGCACTATGGCCAAGTAACTCACCCATAGGACCAGCCGTAGTCCCATGTCTGGGGCCTCCAGTCTTCGGGACCAAGGTTCGCAGTGATTTGAAAAATGGTTGTGTACATCATGTGGGCCACCATGCCTAGGAGCCCTGCACAAGGAAAGCTTCGTGAGCCAGGGTGAAGCGTGCAGCGTGGCGGTGGGGCTGCTCTGCCTCGCGTGAGTAGGGTGCACGCGGCTTGTCAGCGTCCAGGAGTCCTCGTGCTGTTCCTGCACCTGTGCCGCCCTACACATTCCACCTGACACCTTGTTCCCGTGGTTGACACTGAGGAGACAGCAGCAGGGAGGGCCCTGGTGGATGCCAGGACTTGGGCCAAAGTCTACAACCATTTCCGGCTTGGTTCAGAAATTGGATTTTATCACCTATTCACTGATGATGGGACTTAAGAAAGCAGCGTTCTACTGACCAACCACAGATGTGCTGCATGAACAGGGCTGATGCTCTGGTAACTCAAGAGAGCTTTGCGCTCCCAGCTGGGGAACTGAGAGAATCGTTTGCTTCTTGGTGGAAAAGCCCACTTAGGAGACCAAATTAAATTGCCCTGAAAATTGCTTGGAGAACATGGAAACAGAGCCAAAACAAAAGTTCTTTATTTTTATGGAGGATTTATGCCAAACACAGAAGGCAATTGTTTGTTTATTTATTGAGTACAGACGTGGTACACTCTTACTTAGTCATCACTGTGGGCCAACTTAGAGAAGCTAAGTAACTTTTCCGGACTCGCACAGCCAATCAGATAGTAGAGATCTGAACTCTTGCAGAATTCCTCCACAGACTCATGCCTAACCTCTGTCCTAGACGGAGTGACTGCTGTTCTTAGAACCAGTGTACCCTCTTCCCAGGGATGAGATAAAGACACCATGGATATGTTTTACCTCCATCTGTGCCCGTTCCCTTTCTATGCATCCATCACCCAAAGAAACCTTGCTTCCACTCGCTGAGATTAACTCAGTGACTGTCCTGCTGCACTGGCCGTTGGCAGGGAAGAGCCAGCCCGCTCTTGGGTGATGGACACATCCAGCCTGATGCATTGCATTCCCTCTGGGGCGGGCCACAGGGAACTTGCCTCTTCTAACGATGCTATTGGAACGAACCTGCGAGGACCATGAGGATGGCCACCAAGGCGTCCACCTTGAACCAGTTGAAGCTGGAGCTGGGGCAGCTCACTCGGGAGCCGAGGAGGACAGCACTTGAGAGCAGCAGGAGGACATCCAGGAGCTCAGCCCCGATGGACAGCCACAGAACACCTGCCAAAAGTAAGGGGCTGCTCCAGATGCAGAAGCCCCGGATGGTTCAATCCTGGGGTCATTCAAATGCAAAAAGCAAGTGCCTCGGAGTGAAAACCACAGATACCTCTGCTGAGTCTTGGAAAGTTGGCAACAAAAGGGGCCTCATAGGGTCTGATGCAGATGTTGGGGAAGATTGCTCTTATTGGGAAAAGGATAAACTAAGCCAAACCATGTTCTGAGGACCCGAGTGAGGCAGACACCTCCTTTCTCCAGCTCGAAAGTGAATGTGGTGTCTGGAGTCCTCCAGAAGGCAGCAGCTTTGTCCTTTACAGAGGATCCACAAAGTTCAAGAGCAGAGCAAAGGGGGCTGAGAGTTGAAGGGCCCTGTGTGGAGGCACCACAACCTCATTTGTCTCTGTGTGGGCTGCTTGCTTCACCTCTGGATGGGACCCTGCTGTGTTGGATGCGGAGGGGACAGGAAGGGAAACTGATACTGCAGAGGCCTACTGGAAGTCACTGGGCACACAGCCATGAACAAGCAGAAGTGACCCACGCCCCGACTAAACCCACATCCACCTGGGAGAGCAGACCCCCCAAAAAGCAATCACAAACTGAGTGACCCCGAGACAGTGCCAGCACCCAGCTCTTCCCGACTCTGCCTTCACCCTCCACGGACAGCTTGAAACCGGCCATGCTGGGGACGCTGACACCATGGGAAGTGGCAAACCCAACCCATCAGGGCTTCCCTCCTCCCTGCATGGTTGGTGGTTAATGTTTGCCCGCACAGCTCCAGCTACAGGGCACAAAAACAGCGACCTTTAAAACAAGCAAGATTGTCCAGATTGGGAGAGTGCTGAAGGGCAGACCAAGGAAGGAACTTACCCTGCTCCTCAGCTGGCACCACGCTCTGGAAGCTCCTGCACACTTCACCTAAAACAGAGAGGACACATCTGTCGGCGGGTTCCACTGCACAGTGTGGGACCGGCAGTCACTCCGGCCCCTTAACTGTACCCTCACTCATCTGGAGGGAGGAAGGGGGAGTGTGCCAGAGCATGTCTCTATTTTTTTAATTTTTAACTTTTTAAAAGGATTCACTTATTTATTTGAAAGGCAGAGTTACAGAGATAGGGAAAGACACACACACACACATATGCACGCATAGATCTTCCACCCACTGGTTCACCCCCAAATGGCCACAACAACCAGGGCTGGGCCAGACCAAAGCCAGGAGCCAGGAGCTTCTTCTGGGTCTCCCATGTGGGTGGTAGGGACCACGTTAGGGACCCACGTACTTGCATCATTATGTGCTGCCTTCTCAGGGAGCTGGATCGGAAGTGGAGCAGCTGGGATTGGAACCAGTGCTCCTATGGGATGCTGATGTTGCAGGCTCAGCCCACCGCCCCACGATGCACTTTCTCATGTGCTAAGTGGGGGTCCCATGAGAACTACATGAATCCCTTCTGATGGAGCTGTTCCCCGTGACCTAATGACCTCCTGGGGGTCCCACACCTTCACCCTTACCACGCAGGGGACCAGGTTCCCAGCACACACACCTTTGGGTCAAACACCACCCAGACCATAACAAGGAGTGAGCATCTGCCCTGTTTCCTGAGCTGACTTTCCTAATAGAGAGGCGGAGGCCGGGGACAGAGCCAGGGCCAGGGCACAGAGGCCGGCCAAGCAGATTAAGAGAATTCCCAGTAGCTTAGAAGCACGGCCCTTGATAAACACGAATCCTCAGAAATGATGTTCCTTTTGAACAAAGCCCATAGGATTAAAAGGAAAAATCTTGATAAATCCCACGAAGCCAGAGAGGCAGACGTGACATAACTGGACAGTGTCCCAGCCACCAAACAGCCTGGCAGGCCAGCCCTAGGAAGACACGTCCCGGTGCCCAGGGCTGGAGTCTGCCATCCTCTGTCTGCTTGTCCCACAGCAGCCCCCTCCCCACCAGTATGGGCCCCAGGCCTGCCCTTCCTTGAATTTCCAGGTTTCAAGAACAGCACAGGAATGGATGAACTGATTTGCCTAAGACAAAATGCATGGGGTCTAGGCCCAGCCCAGGCTCTGAGTTCTCATTTCAAGTATTCAGTTCTGATAGTGAAACAAAAGGCGTGGTCCCGCTTTAGAGGCCTTGGCGGTGGGGAGGGGAGGTCAGAACCGTCTGAGGTGGCTGGTGCACAGAACATTCTAGAACAGCACTCCAGGGAAGGCTAACTTTGAGGGAGGCGGAGCTAACTCCTTGCTGGGCCCTACTGGGTACCTGGAAGCCCCTTTCCTGGACTCCTCCCCAGACTGGAGTCTCCCTGGCTTACCTGGCCCCACCTGGCCCTTTCTCTCATCAACTTCTAGTCCTAACCCTTCCTTCCTAAACTCCAAATCTCCCAGAGCAGACGTTTGGGGTGGGGAGCTCCAGGTTCCACTCGGCTGCAGAAAAACTTCCTTGGGCTCATGCAATGCTTGCAAGACACAATTTTTTGAAATTTTTGAAGGATTTATTTATTTATTTGGAAGGCAGAGTTACAGGGAGAGGGAAAGACACAGAGAGAGATCTTCCATCCACTGGTTTACTCCCCAGATGGCCACAATGACTGGCGCTGGGACAAGCCCAAGCCAGGAGCCAGAAACTCAGTTGGATCTGAGTCCCTGGAATGGCAGGGACTCAAGTTCTTGAGCCATCCATCACCTCCTAGGGCGTGCATTCCCAGGAAACCAGAATGGGAAGTGGAGCTGGGATATGGACCCAACACTTTGATATGGGAGGTGGGCATCCCAAATGGCATCTTAACCATTGTGCCGAATGCACACCCCTTCTCATTGTATTTTAATCTTGGGTCTCCCACTGTGGCTCACTCACTTTGTTACCCCCCCCCCCCCCCGCCTGGCTGTCTGTCTAACATGGAAATGGCTGATAGCGGATTTGCTCCCCTCTTTGCAGGGGGCTTTGCCATGTCTGGGGGAGTGCATGTCTGACTTTTGTGTGCATTGTAATCCCCAGGGGAGTTTTTTAGACTATGGATGCCACCAGACAGAACAGTGACTCGAGAATAAAAAAAAATGCCATGGAAGTGGAAAAAGAAAAGGCAATTAGAAACTCCGGGAAAAGTAAAAAGCTATAAAGAAATGTTATGTCATAAGGCCAACATGGACACAGAAATGGGGACAGCTGGAGGTCCTCCCCTTTCCACCCTTGGAGGTTTTGCATCCCATGCAGAAAGAGGAGAAGATTTTGGACCTGGGCATGGGCTTACAGCCAGGCCGCCCATGGGTCAAATTCCTCTCCAGTTCTTCATGAGGCCAAAAGGCTCTTTTAATAAAAGGTTTGCTGCAAGAACATCCCACGTGCAGGACAGGGCTGCAGCTTGGAGAAGGATGGGAGCCACCTTGGATTACCAAAGGGCTGTGAGTAACTGGGAATGGTGACAGTAACAGACACTAAAAGCTAATGTTTAGTGAATGCATACAGTGTGCCAGGCATGGTCGCAAGTGCCTTAGGTGAGTGTGGTCATTTAACATTTACTATAATTCTAGGAGGTAAACACTGCTATTTTATCTAAGAGATAAACACTTCCCACTTTATAGATGAGAAAACTGAGGCTGGGGCAAAAGGACTTGCTCAAGGACACACACATAGACACGGACAGGGCTGGATTCAAACCCAGGGAACCCGGCTCCAGAGCCCCAGCTCCAGGCCCCCCGTGCTGCACCCATCACCCCAGAACCTGTGGGCCAAGCTCACCTGTGCTGCTGAAGGTCTCCTCACAGGACAGCCAGAGCCCCACGTGGAACCTGCGCTGGATGAACTTGTCATCGCCCATCTCCCAAATGTACTGGACAGCCTGGCCCCCTGCGTCGCTCCTGCCGCTGCCGCTGGACTCGATGGGGTGAATGCAGTGTGGCCCCCCCACTGGGTCCTGGCACAGCGGCTTTGTCACCCGCCGAGTCCCCTGGCACCAGTGGCTGCTGCTCACAGCGATGAGGGAGAGGGTGAGGGCGAGGCCGATGGGGAGGAGGGTCAGAGCCCGCTGCCGCCGGGCCCGGTCCATGGCCGAATGAGGTGCAGGGTACAGGATGAGCTGTGTGTGGGGGGGTTCACTTCCCCGCTGGCCACCATCCCCACGCCTCATCCCTGCCATCTGGTGTCCTGCCGCGGGCTTCTCGCTCATCCCCTTGGGGAATGACCGTGAACTCCAGCGCGCTGTCTGTGCAGGAGCCCCGCGGGTGCCCTCATGCGAAGAGGCTCAGAGCGGGGACACCTCTGAGTTGGTACTGGTGGCCTGCAGTCCTCCCCGGGACGGAGGGATGTGCAGAGAGGGCTTTGGTTTAATTTGTTAAAATTATGGTAAAATACACACAGCACAGAGCCTACTCTCTTCACTGCCTTTTTTTAAATTTGGCTGGTGCCACGGCTCACTCGGCTAATCCTCCACCTTGCGGCGCCAGCACCCCAGGTTCTAATCTCAGTCGGGGTGTCGGATTCTGTCCCGGTTGCCCCTCTTCCAGGCCAGCTCTCTGCTGTGGCCCGGGAGTGCAGTGGAGGTTGGCCCAAGTGCTTGGGCCCTGCACCCCATGGGAGACCAGGAGAAGCACCTGGCTCCTGGCTTCGGATCAGCGTGGTGCGCCGGACACAGTGCGCCGGCTGCAGTGGCCATTGGAAGGTGAACCAGTGGTAAAGGAAGACCTTTCTCTCTGTCTCTCTCTCTCTCACTTTCCACTCTGTCTAAAAAAATTTAAAAAAATTAAACTTAATGTTTATTTGTTTTAAATTTATTTATTTAATTTTAAAGATTTATTTATTTATTTGAAAGGCAGAGTTACAGAGAGACAGAGGCAGAGAGAGAGAGAGAGGTCTTCTATTTGCTGGTTCACTTCCAGGTGGCTGCAACAGCTAGAGCTGCGCTGATCCAAAACCAGGAGCCAGGAGCCAGGAGCTTCTACTGGATCTCCCACGTGGGTGCAGGGTCTCAAGCACTTGGGCCATCTTCTACTGCTTTCCCAGGCCACAGCAAAGAGCTGGATCAGAAGTGGAGCAGTCAGGACTGGAACCCGTGTCTATATTGGATGTCACTGCAGGTGACAGCTTTATCGACTACACCACAGCGCCGGCCCTGTAAGCCATTTTCTATAAGGGAGGTGAACACCTGTAGACTTTGGCTCTCTCTGGGCATTCTGGAAGCAATTCCCCATACACACCAAGAGACAACACCATTTCATTGTGTTTTTGCCGTCACATTTTTTTTTTGATCTTTTTTTAGTCGACTTTATCCGTTGTGGCTAAAGTCCAGGGTTGTTGGGGTGGGTGTCTGGGGGAGTCTGCCCCGCTCTTGCCTTTGTATCCAGCTGGGTTCTCAGCATTGGGTTCCAGAAACAGGGAACCCTGGAGACTTCCTAGGACTGTTTCTTGTCCAGCCAGCCCTGTGGGGAGAAGGGCTTCAGAGGTCTTGTTTTGGGGCCTCTGAGAGATGTGAGGCTGCAGCAGGTGCTGTGCAGAATGGGGAGCCCGCCTGCATCTCACTTGGCTGCTGAATTCAGCACCATCCTGGGGTCTCAGAGGCTGGCGGAGGCCCTTGGCACTCTTATCCCAAGGGAGCCCCTGGGATAAGTCCCTGGGACAAGTCCCTGTGACACTCTTGTCCCAGAGGAGGCCCTAGGATGGGCGTGGGCGTTGCAGATCCTTAGGGAGCTCCTTGGACAGAGGTCATTGATGCAGGAGCGAGGGTGGGAGAAGATGGCACGTGGCATTGAAACAGACAAGTTCTCGATTCCAGGTCAGGCACCTTCTGCAGGCCTGGATGTAACCAAGGATCTACAGGGCCGTGACAAGCAGGTGCAAGTTCATCCTGTCTGTAGTTACCAGGATTTGCCACTAGATGGCCCCCACCCAACAGGTGAGAAAGCCTTGTAGGCTTTCTCAACACAGATGCTTTGAGAAGTTGGGAGAGGAGGTAGAACATTCTCACAAAGCAGGCATCTTCCTTCCCAGCATGCACCTTGCTACATGCACCTTGTGCCTTTAACGTGAAATGACAGAACAGCTTTCTTGTCACCTCCAGTCCACCAGACCAACCCTCCTGGGGGGTGTCTGTCCCTCCAGGTCACTTCTTCCTGTTCCCTGCAGTCCCACAGAGAGGGCTTCATGGGTGCCAGGGGCCCCAGCACCCCAAGAGTCCACGATGGGGGTGTCTTGGTTCAGCTGGAATGCTGTACGGCTGAGTTGTCAACTCTGGCCGGGCAGGCTTTTTCAGCTATCTACGGAGGAGGGTGCACCTGCTTCCCCAGCTGCCCAGAACTCGCCCAGGGTGGTTTTCACTGAGTGTGAAAACAAACACCTAGTGAAAACACATTCTTCTGCTCTCTGGCTGACCTGACGACCGTCCACCTGGGCCTCCACTGTGGGAGGCTGGGGCAGTGGATGGGAGAGGCTGTGGGGGCTGGGCAGGGAGAAGTGGGGCGAGGCGGGACACTTTGGAGGCACCGGGATGAGCCCACCAGAGCGCCCGAGCTCACCTAGAGAGGGCAGGGGTAAGGGCATGGCTCTCCTCCAGGCAGCCGTGCTCAGCACATCCCGGCCAGAAGTTGTGCTTATCCAGGCCCTGCTATTTGCTATTTGCTGGGTGGCCGTGGGCCGGAAACCTAGCCTCGCTGAACTTTAACTTGGGGTTTCTCGGCTATGCCGCGGAGAGTTGGCCCTGCCCTCATGGGGTGCTCGGGAAGATGGATGAGCCAGGGTGGTGGATGGAAGGTGCTGGAACATGTGAGCTGTCGGGGAGAGGCGCTGGCCGGGTCAGGAAATCCACAGTGGAGCTGCGAGGTGGGCTGAGTGACTTGGCACGCGCGGGTGAGTTCAGAACGCCTGGGCATTTAAAAGGCCCCACGTTGGACTCTGCAGCACCTTGTCTTGTGGGTGTCTGGATGTGACCCCGGCCGCTGAGTGGGTGGGAGTAGCTTCCGGCCCTGGGGCTGATTGCTGTGGTGTCCCGGGCCAGGTAGCTGTCCCTCCTGGAGTCCCGACATACACAGGGCCTGGAGGGTGCCCGGCCTGTGTGGCCGGCCCAGCCTGGCCTGGAGAAACTTAATGCCTTAGAAAGAACATTCCCCTTCCAAGGATGCCTGTCTCCAGGCCCATGTCCTGCTGCCTGGTCTTGAGCCTCGAACCCCAGCCTGCCTCACTCTGGCCTGGGGTGGGGTGGGGTGGGAACCACTGACCCCTCTGCTTTTCTCCCTGGGCCCAGAGAACTCAGCTGACTTGGGGAAGGTCTGGAAAGAAAAAAAAAAGAAAAGAGAAAAAACCTTCCTTGCTTTTGGGTGGGGGAGGGAGGAGTTGGGGGAGGCCAGGGCGGGGCTGAGCCACAGCTGATGAGAAACTTTGAAGATTCAGTCCGGAGCTCGAAGGAGACGGGGACAGACGCCCTGGACACGGGCGCGGAGGATTTGTGCAAACATTTCCTCCCCGGACAAGGAGGAATGCCCGCGGAGGCCGCCCGCGAAGCGTCTCGGACAGCGAGAGGGGTGCATCCGCGTTGAAGGCGTGCGAGGATGAGGGGGGCAGCCGGCAGGGTCCCTGCTCCCTGGGGGTCCGGGCCCCTCGGCTCCTGGGCTCCTGGGAGGCCCTCCGTCATCATCCTGGTGTCGCTGGTCTCCATAGCCCAAGTAAGAGCGCTTGCTTATTCCGTGTGCCTCTCTCCTCTCAGTGTGATCTCTTGTGCGTGTTCTCCTGAGTGCAGGGGCACCTGGCTAGTGGGAAGCGAGACAAGGAAGTGGTGCCCTGCTGGCCTCTGAGCTTAAAGAGGGACCCGCTGTTGATATTTGGGTGTCTTTCTCCCAAGCCCTTTCTCTGTGCGTTGCTATAAACACGAATGAAATGATGCAGGCTGTTAGCTCTCCTGTCCTTGTCTCCTCCTGCGGCACTTCGCGGGCACTGCCCCACGCCGGCACGCTCTCTGCGAGTGACATTTAAAACTGCTGCCGCGCGCGCCTGTCTGCCCCTGGCTCTCGCTCAGGGCGGAGCGGTGGAAGCATTTTCTGTTCCTTTTCTTGTTCTTTCTTGCTATGTATTTAAAACAATAGCAGCATGCTTAGGTTAAGAAAAGACCCGTGAAGTCCAACAGAATATCAGCACCAGCCACAGGCTCCTGTGGTCCCAGCCTTCGATCTTTGTGGAGGTGACGTTAGTCCTGTCACATCCTGGTTAGGGTCATTAGCGTTTCGCTCCCCAGAGATCGCTCTCATGTCCACATGGGGGCTTTTACTTCCGGACGGTTTTACTTACAACTAATTAAAGAAAATAAACACAGCCTCAGGCAGTACATACTTTGTAATCTGCTTCTTTTAGTAACAATCTCCCCCCCCCCCATTTATATGGGTCTCATGTCATGCTCTCTGCAATCCGGTGCTAATCCCATTTCACAGATGAGAAAACTGAGTCTTGGGGAGGTTAAGCGATCTTTGCCTTTGTCAGTTAAGTGTAGACCCAGGGCATGATCTTGATGGTTTTCAGCATGGGTTAGGGTGCAGTTAAACATCTTCTGGCCCTCTTCCAGGAGATTATACATTGTTGCCTTTGCTCTTTGCTGAGAGAGAGAGCTCTGTTCTAGTCTTTGGGGTCTTGAGAGCGCCAGAAGAGATGGCTCTCTTTCTCCTTTGATCCATGGGCAGGGCTGGCCGCTGTGAATAGCCACAGAATTCTGCGTCGCTTCTGCCCCCTGCACGGAGGGCTCAGGCTTGCTCTTGCTTCTTGGGCTTTTGTCGGTGGCAGCTAGGGACAAAACCCTCTGTGTCCACAGCTTCCTGGTGGCTGCCTTGAAACCCCCCTGGAGTTATATGCGTGACGATCAATGGTTCCGTGGTTTCAGACCCCCTAGGGGACGCCCCTTCCCCGCACATCCCTGAGGGGCCTGTAGCCCCAGGACCTGTGGTCCAGTAGGGGTGGAGCCGTTGTTTGCTTCCATTCTGGGAATTTGTCTCATTGAGAAATTCTTGTCTTTAACATTTCCATGACAGAAAAGCTAACTAACCTGATCTGATCATGGCACGTGGAAGGCTTGTATCCAGTTCTTGCCCTGGACCCCTGAAATGCATACAGTGAAAGCTTTTTTTTTTTTATTTTTTTTTTATTTGACAGGTAGAGTTATAGACAGTGAGAGAGACAGAGAGAAAGGTCTTCCTTCCGTTGGTTCACCCTCCAATGGCCGCTACGGCTGGTGCTGTGCAGATCCGAAGCCAGGAGCCAGGTGCTTCTCCTGGTCTCCCATCATCGGGTGCAGGGCCCAAGCACTTGGGCCATCCTCCATTGCCTTCCCGGGCCACAGCAGAGATCTGGCCTGGAAGAGGAGCAACCAGGACAGAATCCGGCGCCCCAACCGGGACTAGAACCCGGGGTGCCAGCGCCGCCAGCCCCGAGTGAAAGCTTTTAAAACAAGAGCACAGCCAGTTGTTTAGTTTCGCTCCCACACGCCGGGTCCTGCTGGAATGCTTCTTCACACACCATCTCATTTAACGCACACAGGCTCGGGCAGAGCGGTTAAGACTGAGCCCGTTTTGCAGCCGGGGGAAACTGAGCTCTAAGGGAGTTCTCTGATGGCTTTGAATCACGCAGCTCGGAGCCCTGGAGCCGGGGCGTCTCCCCTGGGGTGTTTGAGGTCCTGTGTTCTTTCTTCTCTGGCCCTCTTGGGAG